TCAACTTTGTCTCCGTTTGGAAGAAAAAATCATGCGCTTTGCACATGAATTCAATAAAATAATGCGAAATGATTTGAATTTCCAGTTGATAGGGTTGTCAGAAATGATCACTCGAAATACACATTCTTGACTTTGCACTTGGAATGAATGGCAATGTAATATGTACTGGAAAATTAGTGCAATGCTCAAGAGACGTTGATTTATGATAAATCCGGACTTCTTCATTCTTACTCCCTAGCAAGATCTTAGTAAGAGGCTAGTGCTTCTTGAACTAAAATTGTCTCTGAAAGACAAACAGTTGCTGCATGTATTTAACACAGTGACGGCTGTTTATTTACTATAATTAATTTTGAAATAAGACTAATATTGAACTTCAAACTGGTATAACAAAAACTTCTCTTTTTAGGTTTCGACGACTACCATTTGGAGCCCATTATACAAATTTTTTCTACAGAAGCTAAAGAAACGGGAAGATCGCTTTTTCTTCCTTTTATTTAAAAACTTAGACATTATTTTAGAGCTTTAAAGGTACTGAACATTAAGAAAAAATCAGGCGATGCAAAATCATTTGCTACAATTTCGAGATTGTAAGTTCCTATGGGCTTATACCTGCTAAATAGCAAACGTTTTTATCAAGTACCCTCTGTTTCTTAATTGATTTCCAATTTATGTATTTTGCAATCCAGCAGAACTGCACAAAGATGCGAAATACCTCTTTGGGCAGATCTGATATTCTCCAAGTCATACGTAGATACTTATTTTGAGATTTTGAAGGGATAGCAACGGGTTAACACCCAATTAAGGGTAGCATTCAACTTATTCTCACATTTTGACCTTCGGTCGGGTGAGAGAGAGATGACGTTAATTTGCGTTGTTCAATGCCACTGATTAAGAAGTGACCAGGAATGATAACAACATCCATCTTTAACCTTAAAATATGTTTGAAAAATAACTATGAGCAAAGATTAGAACGTTTTCGACATGAATAATAGTAATCCAGCATGAAGGGTGAAGTGGAAAATAGAGTCGACTCTTTACGAGATTCTCAGAAATACATATTCCCTCTCAAATGTTAGTGACGTTTTAGGAAGAAAAAGATTGATCATTTATTAGAAATTAAAAAAGGTGTAGAAAGTACATTTATTAATGCAAAAAGAGTGATGTGTGCTTCCG